TAATTTTAACTCCACTTCATTTTCAGTCAATATTCGAATAACATGCAGAATATCCCCAAAGGTACACTCATAATGCGTATATTTTGAACCTTGTCAAAAAGGAGGACCGAAAAGTGTGCACATTGTGAATTGCGAATTCCGTTTAAGTCGGAAAAAAGTAAAAATTCTTGCGATGTCTAAAAACTCACAATTGAAGAACAGGAGTGGAAACATTAAAGAGGTAAGAAACGACGTAATTGAAAAATCCGCAGCAAAATAACACCTGTTTTCCTTAATTTTGAGATCAGACTGAGATACTGTTTTTTCTTCTTCCATTAAATAGCAATTTACAAGATACAGTGAATATAGATTTTATCTTCCCTTTTGGTAGTAGCCCTAAAAATATAGTTTAAGGGCATTTATTACAAAACACTAAGTAGCTTTTAAAGAGCGTTGCGAATTTTAAAGAATATTTTTAAAGAAATATGCAATTTGAAATAGATATTAAAACATCTTGTATTTATACAGAGTGACTTAAATTGCTGATTTAAAAAAAATTATAGCTGTTGAAATCTAATTATTGCAGCAATTATTGATTTTAATTTCCTTTATTTCATTTTGTTCTTTGGTCAAAATTAGTTTTTAAAATCTGTATTGAAAATAAAATTAGAGAATAAATTTTTTTTTTTTAAAAAAATGTGAAGTATCAGAAATTTTAAACTACAATTATTTCAAATATGAATATTTTTTCTATATTTTGTAATATGTATAGACTAAAGAAAGTAATTAATAACATATTAATTTAACTGGAGATTTTTTATGTGTTTAAAAAAGGTGCAATCTAAATAAGTTTTATTTTTTTAATAGGAATAAAAACTATCTATTACTGAAATATTTTAATTTGGCTCTTTTTCCTCCTTTAATCTTAAAAATTTACAAATAATTTTATATATTCTTCAACGTCAAACTTGTTTTGTTTTTAATTTATATGGTATTCGTTTATTACGATGTAGCGTTCAATCACAAAATTTTATATATGGGTGGGGAAGAAAAAACTATATGTATGGAATAAAACAATAACTGTATGGAAAAAAAAACAGAAAACAGTTTTGAAAATATTTATCAAGGAAAATGACAAGATAAGGGACAATAATTTGAAAATAACAATAATTTATGGGAAAATTACGAGAATTTGAAAAAGAAGGGTAAAAAGCAAAGAACACCACATAACGCACTGAGCTTTTCACAACGATAAAGAATACATTGATACTTAAAAATAATCTAGTCATTCGATCTGCGCAAAACACTGCTAATTAATATAGTAGATTAATATTGAAATTAAAAAGAATGTTTAATTAAATTTCATTTAGGCCATTTTTGAGGTTTATATAAAACCCATCTAAACAAATTGACCATCATTCAAAGCATAACGTTCACAAATGGCAAATAAATAATATAAATCCATGGAATGTAATTCCATAGATATGCACTACCTTCAAAAAATAGTATTAAATAGAATCTAAAGTAAATTTTTTCCCTTCGCTAAAGGAAAAATGTTATTTTAAGATTAGTTAATATAAAAGCTAACTCTTTGTTTTGGTTAATGATTGAAAATTGCCTAATTTCCTGTAATTGAAAATTCCTATTGAAGGAAATATTTTTTTAAAAAATATATATAAACATCTTCTTAACGTTCCGTCCAATTTTTTGACATCCAAAACATATTATGAATTAAAAAAATTTCAAAAACTTTTAAAATATTGTTTGAAGAAAGTAATTTCTGCGATTCCAAGATATTCTAAATTACCTCTGACAAAATAACTCTGCCGTTATTATTTTGGAATGGCGTACACACACATGAAATCTAAACCCTTCTCTGAAAGTAATTTCCTGCAAAGGTAGATCATTTTCTATTTCAGTCACGTACAGACATTGAATACAATTCCAATTTAGCAATTTTGAAATGAAAAATGAAATGTCAGAAGTATTTTTCAACGAACTAAATGAAGCTAAAAATTACGGTATTTTTTCTCCATTTTAAATCTTCATTATATTTATTAAAAGCTATTTTTAATAATTCCATTTTCATTCTTTTGCGAAAAATATAGCTTAAGTGAAATTTGTTTTTGTCATAAATATTTCTCAATTATCTTTCAAATAAACTGATGATTATACTTTATCAATTAATTTATTGCTTAAATTTTTTCAGGAGTTCTAAGTGCAAAAAGAGTTTTATTAATACGTCTAACGAGACCCCTGTTTTAAAGGAATAATGGTTTAATGAACCACTGAATAAGCTTGCATAAGACCCTGTTATTTCGATAAATAACTTGGTTTTATAAACGAATTTTTCGACGATGCCAGATTTAGAACTGTCGGCCGTTGTCAACTGAAATGTCATGTTCAAAACTGTTAAATCACACCCCACTTGTTCAATTTGTTCAAAACATACACAAAAATATTACATTGAAATGTAAAAAAATATCCAGTTAGCAAAATTAAAACGTGAAACCACAGAATAAATTTGACCAATCAGACTTTCATGGACTTGGATCTGTGAAAAAAAAATCTTAACTAAATCTTATGGATTGGGGAATTAATCTTAAATGCGTCGATTAATTCATGCAGACGCTAATTTAAGTTTAGAAGTCATACATAAAAAAGTACTTTCTCTTAATATAAACTATACTAAACTCAGTGGCGCGACAGTTTTTCTTGACCATATCAGTTTTCTTGACCTTTGGGCTCTGGGGTGCGAGAGCAGATGTTCCGGTTGGATGGTCAGCCCAACGCGGAACCACCAGTGTTTAGTTCCCAAGCATGCTTAGTACTCATTTCATCGACCCACTGAAGGGATTAATGGCTGAGTCAACCTTGCTCGGTCCGAGGATCGAACCAAGAACCTGAGGCACGACAGCGCGAAGCACTAAGACTCAGCCACCGAGCGTCTCTCTTAATATACATATCGTTATTTACAAGGGCTCAAATTCTCGATTTTTGAAACAGAGGTAATAGCCGCCATCTAAAAAGATAGTCACAATAGGATCAGTAAATTAAAAATGTGGACTTCTTATTGTTAATTTCAAGTTTCATCTCGAGAACTTTTTAAGCTAATTGAAACATTTTTGATTACATTTATAAAATTCGTTTATGAAAAGATAAATCAATGTAAAAGATATTTTTTTATAATTATTAAATTATTTTATAAAATTAGAAACGTTTTAAAATGAAATTTTTTTCTTCATAATTTGAAACTATGAAGTTTTAAATGACAGAATACAAAATTTGAACGAAATCAGTCAAATGTTTTCTGAATCATTTAATTTTTAAAAAATCTTTTGATATTGAAAAAAATTGATTTCTTAAAAGCTATTCCGACTTTATTTTTCACGATTTTTATCTTCGTATGTATAAATATCCTACTACTTTAATCATTCCATTTGATTTTAGTTATTTTTTAGTCAAGCTAGATAGGTAGGTACTTTATTTACGTCGCACTAGAGCTGCAAAATGGGCTATTGGCGACGGTCTATGAAACAACCCTGAGGACGATCCGAAGACATGCCATCGCAATTTTGATTCTTTGCAGAGGAGATGGCTCCTGTGCTTTGGAAACTCGAGCACTTCACGGTAGAACAGTTTAACGACGAACCTGGGGTGCTAACAGCACCCTGGATCCCTACGCAGGCTGATGAAAGTGGTCACCTACCAGCTTACTGACCGGAGCGAGAGACGCTTGACCTTGGTGTTCTACTGGGAACCGTGTCTTTACGATTAGAATTCACAAGGGGTTTGTGAGGTGTATAAAGTGAGAATTTTAAATGATAACTGTTAAAAAAAACTAAATAATAAATTATACGTAATACTATAAAAAAGTATTTGTACAGCCCTAGCCAACACAGGGGATCAGATAAAGTGTTTTCAAGCGCACCACCTCAAAACTGTTAGCCTATTTACAACTACCATAAAATAGAACATAGCAAATATAAAAAAGTCCAAAGATATTTCAAGAAAAATATTTGAAAACTAATTAACGAAAATTGGAGGAAAAAAAATCAAATTTTGGAAAATATTAGAACTGAATTGACCCTGTCGGCGAAATGAGCTATCGGCGAAGTGATTGTGTTTGCTGTAGGCAATGTGATCGTGCCGAAGATGCGAGTAGTTGGCGGAGTGATCGTGTTGAAGAAATGAGCCGTCGATGAAGTGATTGCATCGGTCTGTATGTGATCATTTCTAATTCTAAATTTAAGCATAGAAGAATTAGTCTTTATGCCTTTATTGCTTGAATCACTTATTCGCAAGCCAGTCTAATCAACGGAACTCCGAGCTCAATCTTCTGAAATATTCATGCATTAAGAATTATGATTAATGCTATAAGACCTCAGATGTTTAAATCTACCTCAAATTAATTAGTTTTGGAATTAATAAATAGTTAATGATTCTCGGAGAACGTTTAGCATCAGAATTGAAAGAGGAAATTGTTTTTAAAGAAGCAATGAGTTGGTGTTTGAAGCCTAATTCTTCCATTAGATTACTTCTAGAAATTAAATTTCGAATTATACTCGAAAGGAAACTGTGCATCTTAAATGTTAAGTTAATTTAAGTTTAGTTTCAATTAAAATCTTTTTTTCAGAAATAGTTATAAGCTTTACATTACTCGCTTTACATATCTCTCCATTGTAACTTTTAATTGAACATCTGCTAAAGACATAATAAAACCAACGTTTTTTGCAACACAAAGCCAAGCACAGTATTATGTAATTCTAAACAATGTGCTACGTAAAATACACAAGTGGGCGACCTTTGTGCTAAAATACAAACTAAGGTAGACAACGTTAAAGAGCACAAAAATATATTAAAAGCAGACAGCTGTTTCGGATGCTCAAAGGGCTAAAAAATGTCTAAAACTTAGACTTTCGGAATATCATTTTTCCCAATATGAGGTCGATGAATATGTTAACCTTACCCGTGTTTGTTTACAACAACATACTTTCGCGTTTGACAACAAATTTTACAGTATGACCAATGGTCTTGCCATGGGAAATCCTTTGAGCCCTATACTTAGTGACATCTATATGCCTTATTTTGAGAGTAAACTATTCAAACTCTTAACTTTCCCCTTTTATAAAAGATACGTTGATGACAGTTTTGCTTTGTTAGAGGATAATAATTGCAATTTAGATCAAATCCTTAATGTTATGAACAGCATTGATTCTTGCATTCAGTTCACCTTTGAATTAGAGTCTGATCAAAAACTTCCTTTCTTAGATGTGCTTGTGACTCGGAATGATAATTCATTCCATACTACTGTCTTTCGTAAACCTTTTCCTGTTTCTCTTCCCCCTCACTACAAATCCTCCCACCCTCCCAACCAAAAACTTGCATCTTTTCGGTCTTTTGTCTACCGCGTGGTAAATATTTGTTCTAACAATGATCTTCTTGATGCAGAATTAAATTACATCAAAGCCATTGCTCATGACAGAGGTTATTCTCCTAACATTATTGATAATATTCATAGAAACTTAACTAAACAATCACATGCCGATAAACCTTCCAAAGAATTTTCTAACAATTTAGTCATTTTACCCTATTTTCCTAAAATAAGTCGGCAAGTTGCTAATATCCTAAAGAAGTTTGATTTTAATATTATTTTCAGTCCCATTAATAAGATAAAATTTTCTAATCTCAAGCAGCCCATTGACAGTCAAAGTAGCTGGGGTATTTACCAAATTAATTGCCAATGCGGCCTTTCATATATTGGCCAAACTAAGCGTGCCTTAAAGTGCCGTGTCAAGGAACATGAAGCTTATGTCAAAAAACAAGAATTTAAACGCTCATCTATTGCCCAACATTGTTGGGACTCTAATCATAATTTTAATTTTTCTTCTTCTAAAGTCATTCAAAATTGTTCTTCAATATTCGATTTAGATTTTTACGAGTCTTATCATATTTTCAAAAATTCCAAACTGTTGGTCAATGACCTATCAAGTGTTCCTTATATTTCTCCTGTTTGGAAATCTATGATAAAACCTAACTACCCCCCCCTCTTTGTTCCTTGCTTCCTATTCGTCGTCTTCCGTTCACCCTTCCCTCCTATTGGCCGTTGCTCTAAACCCTCTTGTGACGTCATCTTTCTATATATATTTACTCTGTTCTCTTATTGTTTTCTGTTGCACTGATGAAGGTTGCCCTTTGAGCATCCGAAACAGCTGTCTGCTTTTAATATATTTTTGTGCTCTTTAACGTTGTCTACCTTAGTTTGTAATGTGCTACGTGTATGTATTTCAAACCAGTTTTATATTTAAAAAATATTTATAAATATTTAGCTACATTTTTAATTATTTAAATTTCTTCAAACGCGGAATCCTTTCTTAGATATATTACTTTCATATTATAAGCTTCTTCCTCTTCCTTGTTTGTTTGAATATTTCCATCTTCATAGTTAACATAAGTTCTTAATTCACCTGTTAAAAAAATAGTGTTAGTAATAGAATCTTTTTGATGACTGTCCACAAAATGCAGTTCTAAATGTTTTATTAAGAAGAAGACTAGATAACTGAAATGGCTAAAATAAACTTGGTGTAACAAAAGTTTTAAAAGTCTATAAAAATACCGTTTAACTAGAATAGAATAAGATGCTTTAATTCTCTTATTTTCATTACTTTTTTTTTATTTGAATTAGCTTTTTGCCCTTTGTTGTTTTATTCCTTTTTTCCTTTATATATTCCCTTATTATATTATCTTACTTTTGATAATTTTGATATTACCGTGAAGTGTTTATGAACACAAATAAGACTTCATCTTAAAGTTATTGCCTTACATAAATTAAGTTTCCATAATTCTGTAGAATGACTTTTTCCCAACTGACTCACAACTCAATTAATAAAAGGGAATCGTTCGAGAGATAAAGTTTTTGAACATTGTTTAATGTTAGAAATATTAAGTTGAAAACTTCATATTTCGTTATTTCGAATGTTTCAACTTTCGTATTCAAATTAATATTTGTAAGTAGACAAGTTAAATAAGTATTATTATAATATAAAATTAAGTCGACAAAACTAATTAAGGAATGTAAAATTTGTAACTAGGCAAAGTAATTATCAGGACATAAATAAAATATTTTTATTATTTGCATCAATCTTTGCAAGTCTTATGAGTTGATATATATTTGTAATATAACCTACCGTTCTCTAATTGGTAATTTGTTTTAAAATTAATATAAAGGACTTGTGTTTAAAATAATTTTCTTCTTTATGAACAAATTAAATTTAACTGAACTTAAAGAACCTATTTTTGATATTAATATCTGAGTTATTCTTTTTTAGTGTGATGTTTTGTATATTGTTTAGACCAAAAGTATCAGTACTCAAGCGTATCATACAAAAATCAGGGTATTAATATTCGATATCCTCAATACTTAGAACTCAAATAACATAAGTTTGAGTGACATTCAATGTTTCAGCTGCTGATCTTGACTTCTGGGAATCAATCCATCTTTTTAAAATTTCTAAGAATTTCGTTACTAATCCTTATGGCAGCCTATTTATACCTAATATTTTGAAAACTAATTTAACTTAATTTCTACATCTTGCTCACTTTAAATCACGTGACTCACAAACTTGTTCCTTAACTGTTTTAACAGAACCGAATCTATAGTATGTCCATCTTTACGTAATTAATTGTGCTTTATTCACGTTGATTAGTCTGATTTGGATAGTAGTAGTTTAATTTATTATATATTTGCGTTAAATAATGTCTCCATATAAGCTTTGTGCCTAGCCCAGAAATGAAGGCGACTCTTTGATCTATAGTTATGTCAAAATCATCTTCGTTGACGTTTTGATTTAAACTTGCACACATTTGAGATTATTTATGCAATAAATTAGGATATTTCAAGAAGATAATGTGATGATGCTATCACAATAGACTCAGCTTTCAAACTTTTGGCATTATAAATTTAAAATATCACTTTTGTGACTGTGCCTTGCCCCTAGTTTTTTTTCTTTCTACCGTAACCGTGAAAATTTCTAAGCCAGTTGCCCGGATGGACGATCACTTTGATTTCTGTTACTTTGGAAACTAAGTGATCTTTTTCTTCAAGATTTGATTTCCTTCTCTGCATGCTCAAGATATAAAGTTTATTCTCCGATATTTAATTATTTAACAGTTACAAAATTTTGCATTTATGCAGGTTTGGTAATTCTAATATATTGGCCATTTTTCACTGTATTAATTTTTAAGATAACAACAGAGCATTCAGAGAAGGAGACACGTGTTCCCTTCAAAGCTCAAGATTTGATTTAACAGTTCCAGTGCCTATTCATGAGACTTGTGTGACGTGAAGAGATGTTAAAATAAAGAGAATGGACCCTGAACATATTCTCCTCCTTTTTTTTTCTTATGTTGTTGACCAGTGAATCTGGGTTGTACTCCATAGCCTAAAGCAGACATACCTCAGATATAATAATAATATTCAAACTCTGCTCCTAAAACTAAAATCTTTTTGATATCAAAATTTCATATCAAATTCTGTGTTATTACCTTATAAGACATAATGCAATCCAATCGGAAGTTATCGGGCGATAATTAGTGGTTCTTGTTTCTACCCACCATAATGCATGTGTGGTAGTAATTTTTGATTTTAATTATATTAGAACATTACTAATATAATGTTTGAATAAAAAGGAATATAAGTATCATAGTTTTAGTAAAACTTATATAGAAAATAAATTAATTGAAATTTCATACTTTCAGACGATATATTTTTGATCCTCGTATTTTCTTTAAAGCTTTATAAAAGCTAAAACTTTCATACAATATGTGTTTCAAATTGCTTGAAAACATCAATTCTGAGAGAAATTTTAACATTTGGCAAAATCACTTTACTGTTATTATTTTAAAAAGGTAGTTTCAAGTAATGCACGTATGATAGCTCAATCTCTTTTGAAGTTTCCAACTCCAGTTGGTAATTTTCTATTCCAGTCACATTCACGTCTAGGAGTATAATTCAATTCCAATTTAGAAATTTTAAGAAGAAGAAAAAGATGCTTCTCGAAACTTTTTTAAAGATATAAACGAAGTTGTATAGTTGAAATGTTATATGCCGTTTATTACTCTTTCAAGTCCACAATAAAAAGTAACACAAATAATGTAACTCAAAAAGGTAAATTTGTTATGATAGCAGATGTATTTGTATTAAAAAACGCTATTCCTTGGCTAAGAAAATAATTTGAAAACGTTTTATAAGTTAGTGAGAAAAATAAATTTAAAGGGATAAAAGACATATGTTTAGAAAATTTATTTTTATAGTTAATTTTTAATTATTTTTTATTTATATATTTTAATATAAGCAAGCAATAAAAATGATGAAATTTAACAAAGGGTGCATTAAGTAATTTAGGAATCTTAAAATTAATTAAAGCTACAAACCTATTTTTTTTCAAAATAAAAGAAAAATAAATTAATAAAAATTATCCTTTCATTGTAATAACATTTTTTTTACTTTGTATGAAAATTGAAGTTATATGGAAAATAGGGAATGTATCGGTAATATAAAGGTTAATTCAAAAAGACAGTGGATTTCACGAAATTTAAATTGGATGTGTACAGTCTACATACCAACGTAAAGAGGAAGATTCGGAGTTTGTTTTGCCACCACTCTGGCGGTGATGATGAGTGGATACGTTATTAGGCATATAATACTTTCATTCAGAGTTGGCCAAAAATGTTAAAAATGTAATCGATTACATTTTTTAATTACAGTAATCAATTACTTGTAATAATGATTACAATTTTCAAAAATTTTGATTATAGCTGTAATCATGATTACAATATTAATTACAGTAATCAATTACTTGTAATCATGATTACAAAGTTTGATTACAGCTGTAATCATGATTACATAGTCGATTACAGTAATCAATTACTTGTAATCGTGATTACAACTTTAAAAAAATTTTGATTACAGCTGTAATCATGATTACAATTTTGATTACAGTAATCAATTACTTGTAATCATGGTTTCAAGTAATTGCGATTACAAGTAATCACAACGAAAACGATTACGGGTAATTATGATTGCAAGTAATCAAAATATGTGATTACATGTAGTCATGATTACATGTAATTGTGATTACTTGTAATCTAAATACACGATTACAAGACTATTGTATTCTTATAAATGATTATATCTTACAGTAGGTAGTATAATGTATTTTATAGTGATACATTTTGCACGTATTTACATGTACTGCATTTTGTACTTATTTGCACACGCACAAATGAATGTAACTAAAATGTATGTACATATGATTTTATCTAGTGCATATGTTCAGACATTTTAGTTTCACACACATGTACATACGCTTATATTGTAAGTATAAAATAAATGTACGTATGTATATAGCTAATAATTACGTATGTATGTACAAGCAATGTAGACATGTACATTTATACATAATAAATATATGCATTTTATGCAAATATTTGTGTATGTAAAATGTATATCTATGTTCATGTACTCATGTATATACAAGTGCTTGTTCTTTGTACAAACATACATACATTGTCTGTACAATGTATGTCCCATGCATGCATGTGCAATTTATTTATGAACAATATAATATATGTATGCATGTACAATATAGGTATATATGTAGTATGTACAATATAGGTATATATGCTGTACGTACAATATAGGTATATATGTAGTATGTACATTATATATAGTATGTACAATATATGTATGTATACATGTACATGATATGCATGTCCAATGTATTTATGTGCATATACACAATGTGTTCATGTTCAATGTATGTATCCAAATATGCATAATACATTTGTGTACGATTGTACGTACATTGGGCAATTTATATTTTACATATATTCATACATACATGCGGCATGCATAACGTATGCACATACACACATTTGGGATGCATATATTGCACAGATGTATATATTGTACAGATGTATATACATACAGCGTACAGATGCATATTCATATAATGTAAATATGATGAAATGAACATATAATGTTCATATAATGTACATATGATGAAATGAACAGGTAATGTTCATATAATGTACACATGATGAAATGAACATATAATGTTCATATGATGTACATATGTGCGTACATATACAGTACATATGTGCATAAATATATTGGGCATAATTCTTTGGTACAAATTTACAATATAATTATGAATATTGTACATACAAGCAACGTTTGCGCATACATTGTATATATAGGAATCACAAATTGTACGTTAATGCGTGCGTACATTCTATGTACATAAAAATATATAAACTCATACATACTTACACAATGAATTTGCATATAGTATACAAGTGTAATAGCTTGTAATCGTATAGTTTGATTACAAGTAATCACAATTACATGTAATCAAATTACATGTAATCATGATTGCATGTAATCATATATTTTGATTACTTGTAATCATAATTACCCGTAATCGTCTTCGTTCTGATTACTTGTAATCGCAAGTACTTGGAATCATGATTACAAGTAACTGATTACTGTAATCAAAATTGTAATCATGATTACAGCTGTAATGAAAATTTTTTGAAAGTTGTAATCACGATTGCAAGTAATTAATTACTGTAATCGTCTACGTAATCATGATTACAGCTGTAATCAAACTTTGTAATCATGATTACAAGTAATTAGTGATTACATAGCTGTAATTATCTGTGAACAATTACAGTTGTAATCGATTACTGTAATCGACGGCCTACTCTGCTTTCATTGTAATAAAGGTTTTTTTTTTACTTTGAATGAAAATTGAAGTTATAAGGAAAATCGGGAATATATCGTTAATATAAGGATTAATTCAAAAAGATGATGGATTTCACGAAATTTAAATTTGATGTGGACAGTCTACATACCAACGTAAATAGGAAGATTCGGAGTTTGTTTAGAGACCACTCTGGCGGTGATGATGAGTGGATACATTATTAGGCATATAATACTTGAGTAGGGGGAAAATGAGCGCGACACCCCACTTTTCGGGTTGATGGCCACCCTATGAGATGAGTACTTCGCTCCACTTCGGATCGATCGTCTCGTCTATAGGATGGGCACTACCACCTTCCTCAGTATGGATGAGAATTCAACTCCGCTGATAAGTTCTTATTAGGTATGACGTAGCATGGCGCCTTACGAAGCATGGTTTGGACTAAAAAAATGCTTCTTAAAAATTTTGGGTATTTATTTCCTTATAACTATGTGTATATTTGAAACATTTGACGCCTTAATCAGAAACAAGATTCAAATTAAATCCTCATTACAAATAATTATAGGAAATTCGCAAAGTCGCAATCCATTAAGTTAACCATATATATGCTCTTAATGTCGCATGGTTTAGATCAGG